ATAACATTCGAATAGCGATATCTTGTGATCCTATGATTCGAATCACATGATTTTGGTACCATTCGACTCGTCTCATCGAGACGAATCGATTGATACCAAAATCGTTCGTTTCTGGCTAGTGGATCACGAGATATGACGAGTGCGTCATAATTGGTCCTGCGCCATAATACCCCCCTTTACCTTATACAGTAAGGAAAATTTCGAAGAAATTTTCCGTAACATATTTCTCCTCTAAAGGGTGAGCTCCGTCAAACCCGCCAACATCCTCCTGGTATCAACCTCCCTTAACCTCCTTGCTTCCGCCAACAATTCCATAAAGTCAGAGTCCAACATTCGCTCCAACACCGAAATTGAAATATGTTAGACCAGATACATACTATTGTAATGGCGTAGATATAACGGGGAACGTCGGGGCAACTTGAATCGAGGCGTGGAGAATTTGGCGAGTAAGTTTTTGCTAGATTTTTTTATTTTTTATTTTTTTTGCTACTACTAACTTTAATGCTTCTATATCGACCACCAACAACTTAATAACTAACACCCTACAACACAAACTCAACTATGGTATAGACGTTTGATCTTTCTATACTATAATTTTATGAGGAGCGAAAGATAAGTTTATTTCAAAAAACTTTTCACTGCTTTTATACATGTTTTTGTACTGCTTACTAACTGTCTATTTTTAGGTGCCTTCCTAACATATTTCCCACCATTCTTCCTTATGAGATTGTGTTGGCGCCACTATTGGGTAAGTATCTTATCTTCAATTTTTTTTTTTTTTTTTCGCATTTTCCCTTTTTAGGTACTATTACTAACATGATCCGTTTCACTTTCTTTTTTTTTTTTTTTTTTTTTTTTTTTTTTTTGTTTGTTTGTTTTGTTTGTTTGTTTGTCCATTTTCGCACCGTCTTTTGGTCCACCATGTCGCCATTCTGAAACCGTATCGTGGTTCTTCGACTTATTCCCGTTTTGGCACATACGCCCTGTCAAAATTCGTACGATTGTGGGATAAGTGCATGCATGCATCCAACCGGGTTCTCGGGATATGGTCATCGAGTACGGCACCATTGATCACGGAACTTTCGGACACTGCGCATTTTCACTCGTGATATTTCTCCGGTGCTTATCATATGCGTACCACGCATATTAGTCACTAGGTGTTAATTTGATTGACTCCAGACACTTAGGGCGTCGAATAAAAGGTCGCCAGGTGGCTTGGAATTGGGTCGATTCTTTCAATTGCTTGCTTCTTTGGTTTGTTCAGTAGGTAAGGTCTCTCTTTTCTCTTTCTTCTCTTCTTTTTTTTTTTTTTTCTTATATTGTTATTCTTGGCCTTCATACTTCCACTAGATTAACGCTTATTTTGACAAAGTTCAGGAATGGATACAAGAGCGACTTGTGCAATGGTTAGGTGGGAGTTTTTTTTTTTTTAATCATAATATTTTTTTAATAATTTGGTATTAATTGGGGCCACCAATACTTTTCCATTTATGGTGCGCAATTTGTAAGCATTATTTGGAAGTCGGTCATGAATATAGAACAGGCCATACCACTTTGGCTCGAATTTGCCACTTTTAGACAGTTCCTTCGTGGCCTTATACAACAGCACCTTTTCACCAATATCGAACCCAGGGGTCAATTTGTAGTGAGTATCATGATAGGCTTTCTGTTGGGCCTGGGTTTGTTGTATGTTCTGCATAGCCTTATCTCTAAAGCATGGGAGATGGTCAATCAATTTGTAGGTCCTTTGCAATATTGTTCCTTTCAAAAGTGAGTCAGCTCTGCTTGGGTGTATTGGTTGATGGGCTTCTCGGCCATAAACTAGATAAAAAGAGGACATTTTGGTCGTAGAATTCTTGGAGGTACGGTATGCGAACAATATGGAGGGGATCAGCAAATCCCAATCAGGCACATTCACCACGAGTTTTGTAATTGCTTCACACAGGGTTTGGTTAAACTGTTCTACCAATCTGTTAGTCTGTGGGTGGTAGGGTGTTGAGAGCTTGTGATTGATTTCAAAGTTCTTCATGAACTCCTTAATCATGATATTATTAAAATGGGTCCCACGGTCTGACAATATTTGTTCGAGGCAGCCATGTCTACAGTCGATCTCATTGTACAAGAAATCTGCAACGGTCTTTGCATCAGCTTTCTCCACGGCCAAGGCCTCAGACCACTTCTTCATGTAGTCTACAGTAACAATAATGTAACGTTTTTGTCTTGGGGTTCTTGGGAGTGGGTCAACAAAGTCGACACCAACTTGATAGAATGGCGCAGTCACAGGGATGGGGCATAAGGGTCTAGGTATTTTAATTTTTTCTCTTTGCTGACATCGTTCGCATTTTTGAACATAGCTTCTTATATCGATGTATATTTGGGGCCAAAAATATACATCCCTTATCTTGTTGAACATAATATTTTTGCTAAAGTGGCCTCCCATCAGATGCTAGTGCGTTAAGAACAAAATCGGCTCAAGTTCGTATTTTTGGATCACGTGCAACAGGCGACCGGGCTTCCTTCTGTCTTTTTTGTAGAGTATCCTATCTTTGTATTCATAGAATTCGCACTTTTTTTGTAGTTTCTTCTTTTCGTTGTTGTCAAGGTTCGATGGTAGCTTCCGCGTTTGTAGGTAAGTTTTCAGGTAGTTGTAATGCGTAGGATCCATATTTAGTTATGTGTTATAAATATATATATATATATATATATATATATATATATTCTTTTTTTTTTATTTTTTTTTTTTTGGGGAGCCAGGACACTGGAACCTGGACTGGATTCTGTTCCTCAGGTTTAAGGCAAGTTTCTCTCTCTTTTTTTTTTTTTTTTCTCTTTGTTTTTTTTTTTTTTTATATATATTATAATTTATTTTTTTTTTTTTTTTTGTCGGAGTCAAATTCGGGATAACGCATCCGCGTTACTATTTTTTCGTCCACTATGATGGTGGATTGTAAAATCGTAAGGTTGCAAGCGGAGCATCCATCAAGCACGTCTACCAGTAAGTTTCGAGGTTTTCAGCTATTTCAAGGCACTGTAGTCAGTAATAACGATGAACAGGTTCAAGCCATAGTAGTGATGGTAATGTTCAACTGCCCATAGGATAGCCAAACATTCCAACTCAGTCGCAGCATAATTTTTCTTAGAGGCGTTAGTCCTCGACTAGTATACGAGATTACAAATTCCTTTCCATCGTTGTCCTTCTATGCAAGCACTCTACCAAGTCAAGAACCAGAGGCATTGGTATGAATATAAAAGGTCTTCGAAAAATTGGGGTACCTCGGAATCGGGGCCATGATCAGGTAACGTTTCAACGTCTCAAAGGCATGGTCTTGGTCTTTTTCCCATGTGTACTCAATATCTTTTCTCAGCAGATAGTGTAGGGGGCAAGCAATCGTGGCGAAACTTTTAATAAATCACCAGTAGTACGACAACAAACTCAGGAAACCGCGCAATTGTCGAAGGGTCTTTGGGATTGGAAAATTCTTCACTTTCTCTATTTTTGTTTCATTGGGCTTGATTCTATCACAGCTAACAATGTGACCAAGGAAGTAGATATCTGGGCGGAAAAAGGTACACTTTTCATAGTTTAGTTTTAGGTTAGCTTCCCTTAGCTTATTAAAGACTATGCTAATATGGTTCAAATGTTTATTGAAAGATTTAGAGTATATGTTTATATCATCCAGGTACACAATGATGAACTTGCCAATGCAGTCAAACAGGATCTTGTTCATCAATCATTGAAAATTGGCGGGGGTGTTACACAGGCCGAATGGCATAACGTTAAACTCATACGTCCCGAAAGAGGTAACGAACGCCATTTTTTCTTTATCCTTTTCATTGATGGGCAATTGCCAGTAGCCACTTAACAAATCCAACGTACTAAACTACCTTGCTTTAGAAAATATTTCCAGAAGATCATCTATACGGGGTAAAGGATATGCATCCTTTTTTGTCACCGTGTTCAACTTATGATAATCAATACATAGCCTCAATTTACCACCTTTTTTGGGCACAACTACGATTGGGGAGGACCAGGGTCTTTGGGACTCACGTATCAATCCACGTTTCTTCAACTGAGTTATTTCGTTCTTTATGAACTCTTGAACACCGAGGCAGCTCTATATGCCTTTGTTTAATGGGAGCAGCGTCACCCGTGTCAATCACATGGTTGGTTCAGTTGGTGCATCCAAGTTCTTCAATAGTTTATGCAAAAACTTCTTTTTCCTTCTTTAGCATTTCTTTAGCCTCCTTTTGTTGCTCGTCGTTTAATTCTTTACTGACATTCATCTTGCTGATTTTCTCTTCCAGGTCTTTCGTTTTAGGTTCGACAGGGGTTGTGAGCAATTCTTCAACATGGGACAGGTATGCTGCGGGGCTTTGTATATCTTGCCAGGGGTTAGCAAAAAGTTCAGTGTCTTCATCACTCTTTGCTTCTTCGAAAAAGAAACCTTCCGTTTCCTCTACTTCTTCTTCCTCATAGACCAATTGATCAAACATATCATCCTCATCACCAACGGAATCTTCAATATTGACCTTTTCCTCAGGTTGGTACAATTTCTTTGATCCGTTGTTTGAGATTGGAACTTCGATGATCTTTTCTAAATACCTCAAGATCATTTTTTGTTCATCAAAATGTATACGAGCCCGAGCCCTTTCAAACCAATCATTACTCAACAAAAGGGTTTCATCGACCGATTCAATTACCTGAAGTGGACTGGAGATGAGTACATCTTGAACCGCAATTTTGGTGCTTTTAACTTTTTCCAGCGTTCTTGTTCAAACACCATCGCAGTTACTATAACCGTGGTAGACCTTTCTTCAATCTTCAGACCAAGTTTATCCATCAATTTCTTTGTAATGAAGCTGGCAGCAGCGCCGGAATCCAAAATTGCAACTACGGGATTATTCCCGATTCTCACGTAACACCTTGCTGCGGTGGTTCTCTTTTCACCAGCATCAACATAGTGGGTTTCTTCCATCAATAGGGGCCTTTGAAGGGCTTTTGCCAAATTCTTATGTTGGTTGGGGTACTGTAAGATTTGTCCAACTGTAGCACTTGAAGGTTTAGTCAAAATATCAACAGCGACATTGTATGAGGTCAACAAATCAATTACCAACAGTCCTCATTTCCTCCTGGGAGCCCTAATAGGAGCAGCAGCGCCATTACATTGCATTAAATCATCATCATTAATTATTGGATAAGTTTCCCTAGTTTTTCTTGGTTGAATATTAACATTGTTTCTATTTCTTAGACGATCTTCCCATTGTGATTCAGAGTTTGGTGGGCGGTTATTATTCTGTCGTTGGTAGGGCTGGTACCTTTCTCTTGCGAAGACTTCCCTTTCAAGATCATAGTCAGCATTAATGTTGCCATAATTGGCTTCAACCTCATGTCTCAGAGTGTGACTTGGTTGGGCTGGTCTTCTTTCGGAGGGAACTGGGGCTTCTCTTTCGGTCAGACATTCTCTTGCATAGTAGCCTTTTTTACTATACTTGTAACATGTAACCATCGTGGTCACTCTGGCTGGGGGCCTTGTTCTTGGATTATTAGCTTCAGCTTGGGTTGTCAACTGAGCGGCAAGTTTATTATAGCCGATCTTCATTTCTTGGATTTGTTGAGCCAACTCATTCATATTACCCTCCCAATTATTATCGCTTTTTCCCATTTTTTCTACAGCGACGTTTCTATAATAACTTCCAGCTTCGATTTTTTTAGCAGTAGAGATGGCATCATCCAGGGTTTCAGGGTCTTTTACTGACACTAACATTGCTACGTTCTCTTGTAAACCTCCAATGAACATTTATATAACGTATTTTTTGGGCAGGGCTTTCCAGGAGCAACCCCTTTTAGCAATTTCTTGAATTTGTAGGCATATGTTCCCACACGTTCACCTTCCTTTGAACCAGAGAGTTCAATTCGACTTGCCATTGATGCTTTCTTTCGGGGTTGCAAAGTGTGTCAAAAATATCGGTACAAAGCTTCCATCTTGTACATACTCCTCATCCCAATACAGAATCTTTTCCTTATTATCATGGAACTAGTCTGCAGCAATTCCAACAAGGTAACCAGAGACGATCCTAATTTTCCTTCTTGTGATCCAGTTATTCGTGTTGGCAGCTCATTCGAAGGCTTCTATCCATTTGTAAGGATTTTCATTGTCATTTCCATAGAACATTCTAACTCTAACCCAATTATTTTCACAAGTTTCAGGTCGTGCTTCGTTAACTGCTACTAAGGTTGCATCTTGGAAGGCACTTGCTATTTCCCTTAAAATAGTATTAACTTGGTCTTGATTTACTTGCAAGTCTCTTCCTTGTTCGTTTGTTTGATTACTTTCATCGTTTGGTGTGTCAAGTATGTCGTCCATCTTTTCTTTAGTTTTATTTCCGTTCTGTTGTAGGGTGTTAGTTATTAAGTTGTTGGTGGTCGATATAGAAGCATTAAAGTTAGTAGTAGCAAAAAAAAAATCCAGCAAAAACTTACTCGCCAAATTCTCCACGCCTCAATTCAAGTTGCCTTGACGTTCCCCATTATATCTACGCCATTACTTTTTTGGTGGTGACTGTGAGATCGAATGTACATCCTGTAACAAAAAGGAAAGGAAGAGACAGAAGAAATACTTACTTCAACTTAAAGACATACGAAGGTGTTAAAAGAAGAAAAGACTGATTAGGAAGAACGTCGAAAAAAAAAAAAAAAAAACTATAATAAATACAGTATACTTGCCTGCAAAGAAAGTGTAGAAGTTTTAGGCCCCAGACTAGAACCCTGGTAGAACTTTTTTGAGATTTTTACTAACGCAAAAAAAAAAAAAAAAAAAAAAAATATATATAAATTTTTTTTTTTTTCATTTAAAATTTTGGACTTGTTCTGTTAATTACATTATAAATTTTTCCCTT